TTATAGCTCCACGCATTTAAAAGGTCACTTATAGCGCTCGAGCGAGAGAGAGTTGATGGCAATAATAAAGTATTAATTACTCTGTTAATTTACTAAACGACTTCACTTCTAAAAGGGTTGATAAGTGTATTATAGTCGGATGAGAATATCTTCTTCTTTTGTTGTTTTTTTTTTCAAGACATCTCAAACATGAAACTAACTAAAACTAGTAGTTATATAATTAAAACTGCATACTATTAATTACGTACAATGCAATGCAATACTTTTTGTGCAATGATTTAGTTGTTTTGTTGCTAAAGCTGGTACGCCTGCATTTCAATTCTTCCTGGAGTATGAAGTGAAGAAAACGATGATTTGTTGTCTATTTGTTACCTAATGTAGTCGTCATCACGCAAGCTCAATTGTGCAGTCACTTGCATTCATATGTAGTAAAATTATAATCAAATAGCACGTTGAAATCGATACTGTCACTATAAGAAAAAAATTACCGTTACTTCTAAAATTAAGTTTAATAAAAAAAATAACAGTATAATTATACTGATTATTTCCGAAAGTGTTTACTACAATTAATATCAGACTTCATGCACTTTTTGCAAAAAAAAAACCACTTACTTTATCAAAATACTTTGCCATTTACCTGAATATTTATTGTGAAATTATTTAGATTTACGTATGCTTATATTTAAAAATGCAGTTGCAAATGGACTGTTACACCTCGTGGCACATTTGAACCTTTAACATCTCTGTCATATATAAAATTGTAATATCTCTAGTTATACTTTTTATTACATCCACCATCAGTCTTGCAGAAATTTGAAAATGTATAACAAATTCTACTGTTAAGGGTATGTCGCTGTGATATATGTAACAGTGTAAGACCCGCCTGAGCCAATTTCAGAGTAGAAAAAATACGTCGCTGTTTAAGGGCCAGACCGGTGGACGGCGGGCGAAGAGCATTAAAGAGGATCTTATACCCGACATCGCATACTGATAAGGAATATTTCTTAGGACACCGTGAGTGTCCGCCAGCGTATCGTAGCATCCGCAGCGGGAAATTCGCTGCGATATTCCGAGGTCGGTCTCAGAACATTGAATTTTATACCTTATTATATAATAATAAGGTATAAAATACTCCCGGACACATAATTGGGTAAAAAAATACAAGGTGGCTCGTACCTTGTATTTTCAATAGCAAATGCCCTTAGATTAACAATGGTTGATTGATCAAGAACTATTATGGAACTTTGAAACTGGTATACTAAACGTCATTTCAATAAGTCCGTATTGAAAATTTGAATTAAAAAAAACCGGAGAAACCTTTTTCTTCGATGCTAACTATATTTTTTATTCTAGCCCTTTAAGGATAAAAATGCGAGGTGGCTCGAAATATGTGTCCGGGAGTGTATATTGCAATTGAGATACTGAAACTGACAAATAATGCGCTGATAAATTTAATATCCTCTGCCTTCTCGTCCGCCGGTTTGCGATGGCCCTAAGTAGCTAATGATGAAAACATTAAGGCGATTGTACACAGTATTGAGGGCAAACACGAAATAGAGCGTTTGTATTTCGTATTAATTTCTTTGCATGCCATTACAATTCCCTTGCAGGATATAACAAAACGGCGCAAATACTCTTTGATACATGAAACTGCTAGTCTTTCAATTACAAACAATATTAATAATAACGCGCACACTCAACATAGCCCCGCACTAGGGAAACCCTGTGTCGCGGGTGCCATGGACACACACATAGACAACCACAAATTACACCCAAACTCACGAGAGAAATAAATGTAGGTCATACAAATATTTCTCCCGGCCCGGGAATCGAACCTGGGATTTCTGCGTGGCAGTCCGGCATGGTAACCGTTCGGCCATGGAGGCAGTGGCCGAACACTAAGATACTAAATAAACATTAACAGTACAGTAGGCAAAAGGAGGTGTGTCAGCTGATGCTGCTCCTGTTCAGGACAGTCGCAGCGCTGGTTTTCAGTCATCCACTTCTCCCAGATTGTATACTCTCGTCTAAATGGGTAACTATTTAGTAATCTGTGTCTGGGTGCTGTCGCTAAGTCTCGCCAAGTCGGGCCGATAGTTCTCGCGCGATAGGCCTATGACCTACACACCTGCATCCCACCGCCCAATCCATCTCCATCACCGACTCTGTGATTTCCGGGGGGGTTTCCTCAGTCTGCCCCCCTTCTGCTCTAGCGGGCACCATGGCCGTTGGGGTGAAGGGCTGCGGTTCAGGGAAGAGGCCCTCCACCACCCGGTTGAGGAGATCCAGCTCCAGTGACTCCATGGGGGATGCACCGTACATTTTGTTGCGCACAAGTTTGTACGGCCTCCCCCAAGGGTCCAGCGTGGCCAAGAACTCCTCTTTCGCAGAGTCCTTGGCCTGTTCTATCGCGACCTTCAGGGCCTGCCTCGCGCCCTGTAGGGCGCTGTGCAACCTTCTCTCCTCACTCCGGGTGAGACGCCTTGGACGGCATCGGCCATAGGCCCGCCGGGCCATGGTACTGGCGGTGTGGTGGTCCCCAATCTCTGAGGTCCACTAGTACACACTCTTTTTTCCCGGGGTCCCTCTTGCCCTGGGCATGGCCCTCTCGCAGACAGCGGCCAAGTCTTCCCTGAACTTGACCGCCCTCTGCTTCACGTCGACTGTGGCCGGTGGGCACCACGCCTGGACCATGGCTGGTTCCTCTGCAAGCTCATAGTCCAAGCGGGTGAGTGCCCATTTGGAAAAGTCCCCCCTCGGGGGCCGTGTTGGAGGCCGTCGTGGGCGGCGTATGGGAGACCCTCATCCGTATGTATTTATGATCGGAGAGGGTCTCCTCGTCCTCCAGGACCTGCCAACCGGATACTCGCGATGCTAGTGAGGGGGTCGCAAACGTGACGTCCACGATTGACCCCCCATTTCGCCGTAAGCACGTGTTGGCATGGCCCTGGTTGAGTATGACTAGCCCTAAGGCTGCCGCCCAATTCTCCAACTCTGGCCCCTTAGTATTGCTGACTGAGGAACCCCACGCAGAGTTCTTGGCGTTGAGGTCCCCCATCACCAGTTCCAGCGCCGGAGCTGCCCTCTTCACCGCCCTTTCCAGGGTCTCCCACTGAAAGTACTTGACTATTTTACGTGTATAAAAATAGACTTCACAGTAATTCGATTATAAAATTTCAACTCATAGGCTTAAAGAGACTACCAAAATTCGAATTACACTCAACTTTCGTCGTATAAATTCAACCTTTGGGCACAGCTTCAAAACTTTACAATTATAAATAGCTTAATGGACTCTGCAAAATAATTCAAATATTAATTTATAACATGATATTGGAACCTTTGAATAAAATTAAAGAGACCAATGCCTTTGGATATCAACAGAGAAACTGTTCAAAGATATTAAATTTATTTTACTGTGTACCAACCGACCGGGGTATTCCAACAAGGGTTTTACAAGACAATACAAGTTTTAAGGTTCGCTTCAATTTGTCGTGATAACAGTAGAGGATACTCTTTCCAAAGAAACTAATTTTTTGTTTTGAGTTCAACCGACCGGGAGGTTCCATCAAAAATAAGGACAGATTTTACGGTTTACTTTTAAAGTAAACATAGGTTTTTAGGTCACTTTCCGCGACGTTTTTGTAAACAAGTGTACTGCATTGTTTTTGTAGTGCAGTCAAAGTTTTTCGAGTACGAAATTAACAGAAAAGTTTCCACCAATTCACATGAAAATGCCGAATATGAATTTAGATACGTTTTCGTTACATTCTTTATCACTAGAGAAATTAATGAATAAAGTAAGTGGATACACCACTTACTTTATTAATTAATTTCAAAACTTCTAAAAACCTCTAAATAATTAGGCGATAGATTTCTGTGGGTGCAGGTTCTTTTTAGCGAAACGATAATTAATGTAGGCACCATTTTATAGGTGGACGTCATAGTCTTAAATAATAAAATAATCATTGTCGTTTCTTGTGAACTTATGATTTCTGAATGCTTGTAGTCTATTTTATTTTCCAATCGATGAAATTGCTGTTTCCATAACTGTAGGTGAGAGGTAAAGGTTCTATTTTAATAATAACAAAATATTCATAATTACAAAATATGTTACTTTTAGTTAAATATCTATCTATCGAGTGATCCTTAAATCAGGATGAATTCGAAATTAAGACTATTAACACAAGATTGAATGTCGATGTATTCATGCGTTAAAAATATTTAGAACATTGGAAATAACAATTTCGAATATTATACATATTTGACGTACCATTTCATTCGTATATTTGATGCGGTTTTCGAAATATTTATGATATGAACGTAGATCCTATTGACGTCACGTGTAATAATCTATTTACATAATTTCATTTATCATAGGATAGGCATTCACGGAGTGTGTTTGACGTTGATTAATATGCATAACCATGTTACCTTATGACACTGTAAATGAGAATATGGTTCGGTCCGAGAACTTAAATTATATGATTATTAATATCATTGTAAATATATTTAAAATAAATATAAAAAAGGAAGTGTCAGGCAACCACATAAATACTACACTACACTACCAATAACACCCAGGCCAGATCCAATTTAGACAAGTCCATTTCCCAAATCGTTCCAATCGGATATCGAAACCGGGATATCCTCATCCAGCGCCCACAGTGCAAGCCATTGGGCCACCGAGGTCGTCAAAAAATATGTACCTATATACATTTAAACTAAATTAACATATAACAAGTATAATACGTAAATGTATACGTACTCTTAGTCTGTATTCAAGAAAATGTATCTAATAAAAGTCCTTCGCTTACCGTAATTAAGTAAAACAAATTTGCAAACACATAGAAATTCGGAGTCTGTGTATCTTGGGATTGTTGAAGGTTTCAGTTAGATATGAGATAAGATACTGACTAATACATTGTCAGTGTGTTTCGACATTGGAGTACGGAAAGTACGGCAGGAGTTCCTAGACTTCGCAGTCAGTGTACTGAAACCCGCCGCGTGTGGCGATCGCTCCGTGTCGACGAACGTGACGAACGCGCGCGCACCGAAGAAAAACAATCTACGAATAAAAACGTACTTAAATTTAACATCCAATCATAAATCAATTGGACACCTCAAATCCAAAGTTTGCTTTGATAACAACAGCAATCGTAAGTAGCCTTTTATCTTCAAAAACTCGTTATGTGTAAAATGTAAACAAATTTTTTGCATGCAAATTTATGTTTTGTAAAGCTAACAAACATCGAGTACCGATATCAGTAAAAGAAATTTTGAAATTCAAAGTTTCAGCGAAAAAAGTTTAACAATTTCGATGTTACTCAATGTTTACATTATTTTCTGCGTCTGGGATTTTGTACGTATTTGTTGACATTTGATCTGGTTTAAAAGATAGCTTTTACGATATTACGACTCAGTGTAATTAAATTTTTCGTCGTTAATCTTTTTGAAAGATTTAAAGTGATGATTTATTAAAGTTTTATTGAACGACATATTGTTGAATTTCCTTAAACAAGAATTTGATACTTTTCATAACTTTTCCACACATTGAACATGAAGCAAAATACTGTTTAACTCAATATTGTGGAAATGAGAAAACATAACTTATTGCGAATAATGTGATTATTTTGATTTATACATAATACTTAAACTATCATTAATTAATTATTATTACAGTATTTTGTTTTAATTTTAAAAGCTTTTATTTAATCCATAATTTTAAGACAGTACTTACGTAGGTTTCGTGTGCGATATTTCTCTCCTATCTAATTCATAGCCATAGCAAAGACAATAATTAAAGCATAATTACTTGTAAATGTTTTAGAGACGCACAAAAATGCGTGCAGCTCACTCTTTGCATTGTCTGTCTACTGTATTAAAAGTTTCACAGTTGCTAATTAAAACTGGCAAACAAGCTACAGTGCAACAGTTGAAATGAGTAAAATGTTTGAAATAAATGTAAACAATCTAATTTAATCTGGTCAAAGGTGCTTCTGTATTTATTCTGTGTAAACGTTCGCGTATACGTGCCATGCTACCGTGCCGCCTACTCGGTTGCGATGAAGAGTATTGTTTATTAAGTATTTTGATTTGGTACCTTTTCGACGAACGGTGCGATAATTGCATTTTCGAAATTAAACTAATATTGAGTTTTCGTCAATGAATTCTGTTACGAATTCAGATAATTTAATTTGCTAAAAATAAAGTTGGTATATTTACATCGATATGTACATGAATAGAGCGTAAATTCAGTGCCTTTATACATTTGGAACAAGGACAACAAGAGAAACAACTAAACAAACTTTATGGTCATAATGTTAAAGTAAAAAAAGTACATTATCGTAACAAAGTACGAAATCGTAAAGCATCTTTTTTTCGCAAAGATCTGAGAGACAAATCTCATGTGTATGTCATTTCACTGGTTTATTAGCCTTTAGTTTCATTAGCAATCTTATGCTTCAAAACCGGAACGCAGTAATACTGACATTACTGCTTGGCGGCAAGAATAGGTAAGGTGGCAGTACTTTCATGGACGAATTCTTTCACAAGGACTCTACTGCTAGTCTATTTTTTTTCAAATAATCTCTTTTCAATATCAGTTCTAAAAATCGGAAAGTCCTAAATAAAAGATATACTATAAAATATTCACATGTTTATATGTCATTGCATCTATATTTATATATTGGTGTATATATAAGTAGAATAAAGAATGCACGTTATAATTTTTCTTAGAAAAACAACAGATAAAAAATGTATCTCAATCATAATTCACTTAACTTGATCAACACCATTACTAAATAAATCTAAATGAATAAATATCAACATTATATATGTTGCTCTGATCCTGAAATAAGTAACTGAAGCACTTGTGTTATGGAAATCGTAAACAACGACGGTACCACAAACACCCACACCCAAGACAATATAGAATATTTAGTTTCTACATTGATCCGGCCAGGAATCGAATCCGATTAGAGATGGCTATACCATGCAAACCATGATATGCAAGTCACTTGATCACGGAGGCCGAGGTAGTCATAAAATATAATAAATCATCAATCAGATTTTGATTCTTCTTCTTCGGTATAGGTAAATCTTTTATTTGACAAATATATCTATTGAGCAAGAAATAGAGACGAAATGTCATTTAATTTGTTAGAAAACTATTCTGCCATATCATTACCGTGACAACTGTGCTCCGATTGGCTAGCCCGAGTTCGAAACAATTGACGGGTGTCGTCAATGGATGTCGTCAACTGTTTCACTTCAAATCGACCAGTTAACTTGAGCTTTGCTATAATGGACCATAATTGCAAAATTACATATTTAGTTATCGATGAAATGTGATTCCGTTTGTTTTGTAATTAGATGTTTTGCTGTTATTCCCACACCACCGAATAGAACAGCACGGCATTGTTAGAGATATTATCTTTATTACAATAAATATTTTTTTGGAATATACGGAGACGTACACACATTTCCTTAGTTGGCCTGTCTATATTTCAGTGCAAACGAGTGTTGATATTTATAAGAGCTGTATCGCTAATGTGCTACCAGGAATATATGGCCCTTATTTCGTCTCTATAAGTATTACTAATTATAACAAAACTGTTCTTTCTTATTTATAAAATAAAGTGACGAGACGAACAAGTTGTGCGCCTGATGGTAAACCACACGCCGATGCATAGTAGTTGCAGTGCCACTCAGAGCTTTAAATCGCAATTAAAGATCTGAGGGGCACTGCACCCGTAAAGTTCCATGTGTCGGTAATTTCACCAGCACTATATTGACCGAAAATGTCAACAGACCTTTTCCATTTTCCTGTTACCTTTTTTATTTTATGTATATTTCGTCAAAGGGCTATATAGATAGAGAAGTAGGTTTAGAGGGTTTAAGTTTTCCACGATACTTTGGAAAATCAATAAATACATGAAACGATAACGGAGGTGTCGAATTTGAAGGATATGAAAAATTTATTACGTGCTTTTTTAATCGAAAAGTCTACCTGACGCTGCATAAATTATACCTACGGATTAACCACCCGCAACGTATTCTTTTTAGCTCAATTTTCATAAAAGGGTAAAGTCAATGTAAATGTATTTTATTATATGGTAACACTAAACTATGTACGTATAACTAAGGAGAATCAGTCGTAGACGAAATATGAATTAGTGCTTCGTAGAACCATAAATATTATAATTTATAACACCTTGAAACTTTACTTTTTACGCCTCTTGTATCTGTAGGAGGTATTGGGATCGATTCCCAATGAGTCATTTTCGATTTTTTTTACCTTTTCCAAAAAAGAAAGGAAGACGTTCTCAATTCTAGTTTGTGTGTGTGTTACGCGATTACTTCAACATTTGTGAACTTATATACCTCAGTAGTGGTCTCATTTAAATTTGAAAAGTTATTCCACTTTTAAGAGTAGCAAATTAGGGGATGAATCGAGTTTATTGAATTTCGTCCACTTCCCGTTAATCGATTTCAATAAAACTTGGCACATAATGTAATTCTAATAAAAGGAAAATGTTATGGTAACCTAGATCTGATCTAATGTCAGACAGTTGAGAGGAAGTCCTCAACTGTGTACAGCAGTTTTATTGTGTTTGGGTTCATATTATTCGTTTTGACGAGGACTTTCATACTATGCGTTTCAGTTATCGTTGAGGAGATCACGGTAACGAACGCAGCAGAGCTAACTTTTCTCTCTGGTTTTTTTTATGCATTTCCTTTCTGGTTTGTGCTGACTAGCTGTTACAACATCATTTACATCATATACAGCCTGGCCTCCAAGTTTCTGTGCCACTCCCCACGGTCTCGTGCTAATCTCATCCAGGTTTGCCCCGCAATTCCTGCGATGTCGTCCGCCCATCACGCCGCTGGACGTCTGACGTTCCTGTACCCAGTCCTTGGACGCCACTCAGTTATTGCCTTACGCCATTTGTCATTTTGTCTCCGTATCAGGTGCCCTGTCTAGCTCCACTTTAGCTTCGTGATGCGGTTCGACTTTGAATCTTTGTATTGGGAACACGGTCTATCACCTAGTTTACCTTAATTATGCGAAACTCTTTTTTCAAAATTAGAATATTTTATAGTATATTGGTTGCAAGAAATTGGAGCTAAGCAGTTTAAATTTCTCGCCATGTGGATTGAAGTTAGGTCCGGATCTATTTTCTTAAATAGCTATCTATAGGTAAATAGGTATCTATTGTTATTTTTCTTTAAATAAACAGGTTTTCTTGATATAAATTTTATTTTACTTATTATATTAAGATAAATTTGAATAAGCATAGACAATTTTGTTAAATGAAAATTTTTGTAGCAATATAGCTCCTTGTGAAAAAGTTTGTCCAGGGAAGTACTGCCACCTTACCTATCTCTGCCGCCAATCTGTAATGTGAACATTGTTGCGTTTCAGTCTCGAAGGGTTAAGGGTGCTGGTGAAATTACAGGTACACGGGACTTGGGTCCCATGGTGTCGAACGCAGTGGCAGTGACAGTGTCAGATCTTTGTGAATTAAAGCTCTCAGTGGCACTGTAACTGCACGATTCGTTAGTCCCGTCACTTAGTATTATAAAAAACAGAAATGTTCCTTTAATCCGACTGGACTCGAACCCGTGTCTGTTACTTTACCGTGGGTACAGTTCTTAACAACTGAGCTAGTTACCAACCGATTTAGTCAGCGGATCTTACAAATTTCTCCATGTTCCCGCTCTTTGTTTTTTTTTGTAATACCAAGTTACGGCACGAACAAGTCCCTGGTACCTGTAAGTACCTGGTGGTAAGCGACACGCCTATCCATAACAGTTGCAGTGCCACTCAGAGCTTTAAATCGCAAAGATCTTATGGGCACTATCTTGTATTTTCTTTTTCCTTTTCTTTATGTTTGTTCGATCTTTGTATCAATAATAATAACAAAGTAGTAGAGTATTTTTACAAAAGTATATGAATTTTATTGTTATATAAATGAACTGTGACGCCTGTGCTATATTTTTAAACTTATCTTTCAGAGAGACTTTGGGATTCAGTTTTTAAATTGGTCTAAAAACGAATCACCGGAGGAAAAGCGGGAAAAACTGTTTTGCTAGATCAAATGGTTTAGGCATTTACTATTAAATAACGGTTTTATAGAAAATATGCGACACGCAT